ATCAGAGTGAACAGGATGGGAGAAAATTTTTGCCATCTACCCATCTGACAAAGGGCTAATATCCAGAATCTACAAGGAACTTAAACAAATTTACAAGAAAAAACAAACAACTCCATCAAAAAGTGGACAAAGTATATGAACAGACACTTCTCAAAAGAAGACATTTATGTGGCCAACAAACATATGAAAAAAAGCTCATCATCACTGGTCATTAGGGAAATGCAAATCAAAACCACAATGAGACACCATCTCACACCAGTTAGAATGGTGATCATTAAAAAGTCAGGAAACAACAGATCCTGGAGAGGATGTGGAGAAATAGGAACACATTTACACTGTTGGTGGAAGTGTAAATTAGTTCAACCATTGTGGAAGACAGTGTAGTGATTCCTCAAGGATCTAGAACCAGAAATACCATCTGACCCAGCAATCCTATTACTGGGTATATACCCAAAAGATTATAACTCTAATTATTACCCATTACTGGGTATATACCCAAAGGATTGTAACTCTGCCTATTACAGGGTATATACACAAAGGATTGTAACTCTACTATAATTAAAGGATTATCATTCTACTATAAAGACACATGCACACGTATGTTTACTGCAGCACTATTCACAATAGCAAAGACTTGGAACCAACCCAAATGTCCATCAATGAGAGACTGGATAAAGAAAATGTGGCACATATACACCACGGAATACTATGCAGCCATAAAAAAGAATGAGTTCATGTCCTTTGCAGGGACATGGATGAAGCTGGAGACCCATCATTCTCAGCAAACTAACACAGGAACAGAAAATCAAACACCACATGTTCTCACTCACAAGTGGCAGCTGAACAATGAGAACACATGGACACAGGGAGGGGAATGTCACACACGGGGGCCTGTCACGGAGTGGGGGACTAGGGGAGGGATAGCATTAGGAGAAATACCTAATGTAGATGATGGGTTGATGGGTGCAGTAAACCACGAAGGCACGTGTATACCTATGTAACAAACCTGCATGTTCTGTGCATGTATCCCAGAACTTAAAGTATAATAATAAAAAACACTTGACTATAAAAAAAAATCTGAAACATTTTACTTCATATTATACATACTTTTTTAAAAAAAGACAGAAACATTGAAGGAAACCACACTCAACATGAAAGGACCTTGTGCCAGAGTTCTAGAAGGACCTTGAAAATCAGTTTTAAACTGACTTGCTGTCACATAGTCTTTTTCATGGCTGCTTGAGTCATGCTGAAGAGATAGGCTTCATAGATTATATTTAAGAAGTTGTCATCGTTCTGGAAAACAAATCGAAAGACCCGAGAATGTAACTTGGTTGGCAGACACAAAAGGCTTCCTCTGTCTTAGAGCTGAACTGGCATTTGGATACTGAGACACTCATCTCTCCCTGTCTGATCTAACAGCTGGTGGTTTTTAATTGCACGTGTGAATGTTAAGTGGGGTTGAAGGCAAGGCTGGACAGAGCTGATGGTTTTCCACAGTCAGTATGCACAGTAGCAAGAGCTCATTACATGCAGCACAGATGGGCAGCCCAGCCACATGGCAGCATGGAGCAAGGTTTACTCAAGAACAGCCTGAGTCTGCTGCCTGAAAAGACATGGCGTTAGGAGGATGTGATCCAAGTCAGTGGTCTCCAAGTTTGGTTAAGAGATTGCTGTGGTGTGTTTTTGGTTTCTTGTTTTTGGGGTTTTTGAGACTGGGTCTCACTCTGTCACCCAAGCTACAGTGCAGTGGTCCCATCATAGCTCACTGCAGCCTCCACCTCATGGGTTCAAGCGATCCTCCCACCTCAGCCTCGGGAGTAGCTAGGGCTACAGTTGCATGCTACCGTGACTGGCTTGTCTTTCGTTAAGACGGGGTCTCACTATGTTGCTCAGGGTGGTCTTCAACTCCTGGGCTCAAGTGAGCCTCCCACTTTGGCCCCCCAAGTGTTAGGATTACAGGCATGAGCCACTGTGGTTCTTAAAGGCCCTCCAAGTCACCTACAATGTGTCTACTTTGTTTTGGGCATTACTTAGGATTGTACTTGCAATATGCTTCATCAGTACTTCATCAAAGCCAATATGAGTCTTCCCAGAAGTTATGGAAAGTTTCTGGCCTTTGCAAGTGGGCAGGAGTAAGACTGGTAATCTCTGGGCTCTTCTGCCCGGCTAAGAAGTGAGAATCATGGTCTAATCAGTGGTTTTCCTCATTTTTTAATTCTAGAGACTTCTCCCTCCCACCCAAATTCTTTACAGTGTTAGTAATTCACCCACACTTCACATTCCCCCTTCATTCTCTCTTGGCACCCCACATAGAGTTAGCATCATTCTCATGTAATGAAGAGAGTGATGTTATCCCTCTTTTTTCTACGAAGTAGTCACAAAGTTCCTATGCATGAGATTGTGTCCTAACAAGAGGCAGAGACTACAAACAGACTGCTTGAGTGACTGGGAATATGAGGTGTGGTACATGGGAAGAAGTACGATGCATGCAGACGGTGGAGGGAAGGGGAATGTAATTTCTAACCTGCCATGTTCAGCAACTACTCTGGAGTAACAGAGTCTCAAGACGATGCGAATGGAATCAGCCAGAAAACATATGACTCTTTTAAATTCAAACGTAAGAAATTGGCTCAAAGTAAAGAGGTTCACAGATGTCCTATCTAATTCCTCAGGAACTTACCATGAATAGCTTTAAAAGGTGGCAAGTATTTTTATCCTGATACTTATTTATGAATTAGTAAGGCTCAATCATTTGCCGTATTTATCTCTGATTGTTATTATGCTTCTGCTGATTTCTAGCCCCATTCCTTTCATTCTCCCTCAAACATGTTTCCTTCTTTTGTAGTCTCACTATGTTGCTCAGGTTGGTCTCGAACTCCTGGCCTCAAGCAATGCTCCCACCTTGGCGTCCCAAAGTGCTGGGATTACAGGCATGAGAAGCCACTGCGCCTGGCCAACATATAACCTTTTTACAAATGTTGTACTAATTGAGACCATTGTCTTTTTAAGTAGGATAAGACAACCACAGAAGGGGCTGGCCTGCTCTCTGAAGAACATCTGATGCTTAAGCAAAGTACCATGAAAGTTTTCTTAAAGATTATCTACCAAAAAGACACTTAAATATGTTAACTGGGGTATCTGAAGTCTGTCTGGCTACAAATGTTCCACTTTTCAAGGACTACCATTGATTTTTTTGGGTGTGCTTTGCTAGGGCATCTGTGCTGAATGTTCTCCCGAGGCTGGTCCCTGGTAACATTCAAGGGCCACGGGAGAGTACATGGGAAGTGGCACTCGGGGGCCAGGCTAGGGGGCATCCCAGCTCTGCTTATAGTTCTGTGCCTCAGGCCAGTTGCTCAGCCTCAGTTTCCTTGTCTGTAGAATGGGAAAAATAACAGGGTTGTTGTGTAAAGGAGTGAATGAGTTAATAGGTGTGTAGCACTTAAAACACTGCCCGGCACCAGCTCTGTGGAGTGCTAGCTATTACAGCACTCATTATTATTTCATAATTTCATAGACAAGTGAGGCAAGCGGCTCACAAGGAGTCCTGTCACTCCATCCCGTCCTAATGAGCAGGTTTCAAAATGACTCGTAAAACGCACCTGTAGCAGCCATGGCCATTATTGCTTCCCTCCCTGTTTTCCACTCGCTCAGTGGCCTGCTCCCCACTCAGCAGACGGCCCCTTGCCCAGGACTGCTCCCACCTCTACTTCCCAATGGTGAGTTTTCTGTGTGGGCCCCCAGTAGCATCCAGGGTCCTCTCAGGGACTGCTTAATTCCCAGCGTATGCTTCCTTCTCTTCTGACAGGTGACAGCTTGGAGGCCTTAGAGTCCTTCACATTACAAAATCCCTGAAAAGCTGAGACACCCAAAGCCACACTTGGTATTATACATAACACCGAGCTAACGGAGCACAGAAGCCGCTGGGGTCAGGACAAGCTATTACACACACCTGTTATTCTCACGGAAGCTAAGCAGGCCTTGGCTGAGTCTTTATCTCGTAGTTGCAGCCAGGAGGCCAACCGGCGCAGTCCGGTGCAAAGGGAGACAACGTGCCCGCTTACCTGAATGAGGTACAGCAGTGCCTCCTGGAGCTGGACCTTGGTGAGTGGGCTGCTGCTGATCACGGAGGGCTCCGGGCCCTGTATGGGCAGGAGGAGGCTGGTGGCGGCAGCAGGTGGCTCCTGGCCTCCCACAGGCAAGGGGCCGCTCTCCCTTTCCTTTGGCGGGACAGAAGTGGGCTGTGCGAACACCATGGGGGACATGAGCAGAGAAGGAGCTGCTGTAGCAGGGATGCGCCGAGGTGAGATGACCTGCTCACAGGAAATACACAGAGGGCGTGGCTCAGGAACAGCTCACGGCATCGCAGCAAATACACACAGAGGGCAGGGCTCAGGAGTAGCTCATGGCATGACAGCTTGCAGCGGCAAATACAGGTGGTCTAAGCATGCCCTGTCCACAGCTTCCCTAGCTGAGAAGTCTACGGGTAACTGATTCTTGTTCCACTCTCCGTGCACCTTCCTTTGGCATCACTGAGCAGCTCTGGTATCGTCTGCTGTGGCGGCTGCTCCCACTGCATATGAAGCCTGGCCTCTGGGTGACAGCTTATTTTTCAGGCTACTAGTATCTGGCAAGTGCATTTAGACTACTGACCTTTTCCTTAGACCTGGCTGTCCACGACTCTGACCTAAAGGTCTCACAACCTGTGTGACCTGCCACCCTTGTTAGGGGCCTACCCATTTCCCCTCCTGACCCCGGAGCACCGGAGGCACTGTGAGAGCAAGTCCCCTCCTCCTGCGGCCTTGCTCGCTTCTCACCGGGAGGGAGAGTGACGTGTGGGTTCCTGGGTCCTTCCCCTACACGGCCCGCCTGCCTGCAGAGAGCCCGCGGCTTCCGCGTCTGCAGCTGATGTGTTTGGGGTGACCAGGCTGCCTGTGGCTCAGCCCTGCCAGGGCCTGTGTGGTGAGTCTAACTCCCTTGGCAAACAGACCTGAAACCAAGTTTTCTAACAGCCCTTTCAGTTATGCAAGTGACATTTTGATCCTAATCTGACTGACTCCTACAGCTATCATTTGCTTCTAACTCAGGGAAGAAAAAGAATGTTATTTCTCAGCCTCCGAACTCCCCAAAAGAACTCCTAAGAGGGAG